TGAACAGCGTCCCATCCAGACCAAACCCTCCAGCCCATCCCAATAACCATTTCTACCATGGCTGACCTACCCATCCCTGGACACAATGGGCAATTCAGCACCGCCATTCCGCCAGTCTTTGGACAGTGGGAGGAACCTGGAGCACCCAGAGGAAACCCTCGCAGACATGGGGAGAACATGCAAATGCCACAGTCACCCGAGCCTGGAATCAAACCCCGGTCCCTGATGCGTTGAGGCAATAGTGCTAACTATTGTGCCACCCTATTAACCGGGATATGCCAGTCAAAAAGGTCCTTCCAACCCAACTATGGGTGGCAGGGTGGCATCAAAATGTAGTAACGCAAACTGCCTCTAAGTGTACATCAGTGGCACAGGAGTTGGAGAATTGCATATACTCTGCATTTCTATAAATTCTTCTGGATTCTTAAAAAAAGTCCATTTTCCACTGCCCTGGCATCTATTATAGTCTTGCTTTACGAAGAGGAGCTCAGCCAGGTGGAGTTGGTGGAGGGGATGTAGTCAGAGGGGACCCCATCTGGCCGAGCTCGTCCTCACCCTCAACTGCTTCCCTTTTAACTCCTCCCATTTTCTTCAGGTCAGAAGGATGGCCATGGGTACCCACATAGGCCCCAGTTATGCCTGGTTCTTTGTGGGGCATGTGGAACATTCCTTGTTCCAGTCCTACTCCGGCCCCCACCCACAACTCTTTCTCCAACATATGAATGATATCATCAGTGCTGCTTCCCTCTCTTTCCGGAATCAGAAAAGTTTTTCGATTTTGCCTCCAATTTCCACTCTGACCTCATTTTCACCTAGTCTATCTCTGACTCCTCCCTTCCCTTCCTCAACATCTCAATTTCCATTTCTGGGGATAGACTGGCCATTCATATCCACTATAAATCTGCTCACTCCCACAGCTACCTGGACAATACATCCTCACACCCTGCTCCCTGTAAAGACTCCATCCCATTCTCTCAGTTCCTCCATCTCCGTCGCATATGTTCAGATGAGGCCAACTTCGACTAGGGAGCCTTCAAAATGTTCACCTTCCTCCTCAACCGAGGATTCCTCAGCACCATCGTCAACAGGGCCCTAGCATGGGTCCGACCCATCTTCCACACTTCCGCCCTCACCTCTTCTCTTCCCTTCCGCAACAGCGATAGCGTTCCCCTTATCCTCACCTACCATCCCACCAGCATCCACATCCAGGAGATCATCAGCCAACACAACCACCACCTCCAGTGAGATGCCACCATCAGACACATATTACCCTCCCCTCCCTTGTCTGCCTTCCGTAGGGACCGTTCCCTCTGGGACACTTTGATCCACTCTTCCTTCACCCCCAACACCTTCCCACAGCCCTATGGCACCTTCCCCTGTTACCGGTGAAGGTGCAACACCTACCCATTTACCTCCTCCCTCCCCAGTATCCAAGGGCTCAAGCATACCTTCCAGGTGAAGCAACACTTTACCTGCACTTCCCACAATCTAGTCTACTACATTCACTGCTCAGAATGTGGTCTCCTCTACATTGGGGAGGTGAAGCATAGACTGGGTGACCGCTTTGCAGAACATCTACGTTCTGCTTGCAAAAAAGACCCTGAGCTTCCAGTTGCCTGCCACTTTAACACACCACCCTGATCCCTGGCCAACATCTCTGTCTCAGGCTTGCTGCATGTTCCAGCAAAGCTCAATGCAAGCTGGAAGAACAACACCTCATTTTCCGTTTGGGGAACCTGTATCCTCTGGACTCAATATCGAGTTCAATAATTTTAAGGCTTGAATTTTCCCATGTCCTAGCCACACACCAGGCCTTCTTATCACATAGCCTGCCACTACACACTATTATTGTTAGCCACTAACAGTCCCCATTAACAGCTATTTGCCTTCCTAGCCAGATCGTTATCAACTCCATTGTCTGTTCAACTGCTCTTCTCTCTCCTTCGGCTCTATCCCCACCAATCATTTACTCCTTACCCCCTGCCCCCACCCTATCTTCTGCGTATAAACCAACATTTTCCTAGCTACCATCAGTTCTGAGGAAGTGTCGCCGGACCCCAAATGTTGACTCTGATTTTTCTTCACAGATGCTGCCAGACCTGCTGAGCTTTTCCAGCAACTTCTGTTTTTGTGTATGTTTGCTGATGTTTGGTTTCAGTAAACATAATACACAAATGTGAAATATAATTACCCAAATTTTCTGTGTGTATATACAATGCTTTTTACTAAGAATATTACACGTGGCTAAAGCAGAGCCATTCTGATGGAGCCTGAGTGATTTCTATTGGGCAACCCTTCCCTAGAGAGAACATGAAAAGATCCTAAGGTCCAAGAGGTAAACTAGTTTTTGAATGTTTCTGTACTCGTTAGTTCATTTGAACATTATTTCTGGTACTGCTTAGCAACAAAAAACTTTTTGCTGTAAACTTAATGTTTTTCTTTGAATAACCGTACACGGTTTCCAAAGTATTAGTGTAGAGGCAGAGTGGCTATGTTACTGGACTAGTAACCTCAAAGTTTAGACTAATTCTTGGCAACATGTGTTTCCAAAGTATTAGTGTAGAGGCAGAGTGGCTATGTTACTGGACTAGTAACCTCAAAGTTTAGACTAATTCTTGGCAACATGAAATTAAATCCAACCACGGCAGCTGGGAATCTTAAATTTGGTTTATAGGATGAAGTCGGGAATAAAGAGGTTAGTGGACACTGCCAAATGTCAGAAAAACACATCTGTTTCATTTCTATAGAACAGAGGGACCTAGGGATTTGGACGCATAGTTCTTTGAAATTTGCATCATATGTAGACAAGATGGTTAAGAAGGTGTTTAGCACGCTTGCCTTCATTGCTCATGCTTTTGACTATAGGAGTTGAGACAGCATGTTGAAGTTTTACAGGACATTGGTGAGGCCTCTCTTGGAGTATTGCATTCAGTTCTGTTCACCCTGTTGTAGGAAGTATACTATTAAACTGGAGAGGGTTAAAAAAAGATTTACCAGGATGTTGCCAGGAATGGAGGGTTTGATATATAAAAATAGACTGGAAAGACCGGGACTTTTTTCACTGGAGTTTAGAAGGTTGAGGAGTGACCTCATTGAGGTTTAAAAAATCATGAGGGGCATAGATAAGGTCAATGATGAGGGTCTTTTCCCTAGGGTGTGGAGGTTCAAAACAAGGGGACATAGTTTTAAAGTGAGAGGAGAAAGATGGACATGAGGAGCAACTTTTTAGCACAGAGAATGGTTTGTGTGTGGAATGAATTGCCAGAGAAAGTGGTGGATGCACATAAAGTTTCAATGTTTAAGAGACATTTGGATAAGTTCATGAATAGGAAAGGCTTGGAGAGATATGCGCCAAGCGCAGGCAAGTGGGACTAGTTTAACTTGGGAGCATGGGTGACATGGACTGGTTGGACCAAAGGGTCTGTTTCTGTGCTGTAAGACTCTATGACTCTATAATTTCCTTTGTGGATGGGAGCTTGTTACCCTTATTCAGTCTTGTCTACAAGTGATTCCAGACTCACAAGGGCAATTAGGGATGGGCAATAATTACCATCTTATCAGTAACACTCTTGTCTTGGGAACTTATGAAGTATTAGAACCCCACGTGGCTTGGTACTTGTCAGGGTTCCCAGAGCAGAGTTCGTAAATTACTGCCCTTTATAATCAGGTACAAGTCAAAACTCTCCAAAAGTGAATATCTTCCAGTTATTCTACTGAGTTATGTGCGCCTCCTTAAAGAATGTTTCTGTGGTATATGCAGTACTGATGCCCACTTCTAACCTTAAAGTTTTTTTTATCCTTTGAGGATGGTTAACTGATTTCTTTTTATTTTATGAATGCCAGGATTGTGTTATCAAGTCCCCATCATCAATCATTTATGATACTCGCATTGTTCGCTAAACAATCAATCTGGATACTTTTATAATGCAGTGAGGCGATATTCCTTGCATTGCTCCTGAATATTCTTGAACGTGGAGCTGGCCCCGCACCTGGCATTTCCACATGAGATTCTCCAGGTCTCCCAACATAACCATGATTAGTTCTGAAGAAGGGTCACTGGACCCGAGACGTTAACTCTGTTTTCTACTTCACAGATGTTGCCCGACCTGCTTGAGCTTTTCCAGCAACTTTGTTTTTTGTTCCTGATTTATAGCATCTGCAGTTCTTTTGGCTTTTATCACCCTGATTAAACCCTTTTGAGAGTGGAAGTTTCATAATGGCACCTTATCTCATAGGAATTCTTTCCGATGATGCTTCCATGTTAAGTTGCAGCAATGATAAACACAAACCTGTCTTTTTAATACTATGGCTCCAAGAGGAACCGAACCTCCCACTGATAGAACGCCGCTCATAAATCCACAGTTTCTGCTGCTGGGCAGACAAGGTCAGCATAAACGCAACAGGATATGACCGACTTTCTTCCTATCTTCATAGTGTGACAAGCTCATGCATAGATACAGAGATCAGCATAGAAAGACAGACAGAGAGAATGTAAAAGAAACAAAGATAACTAGAGAGAAAGATTGTGGTAAGGTGGAGAGAGAAACAGAGAGATAGAAATGGAAATGTGAAGAGAGAGAGAAATACAGATGAAGAGAGGTGAGGATGTATGCAGCACATTTCCAAACAATGAACAGAAGTTTCAACCTTGACAAAGAGGTAATATGGACAACACTGAATTGTCACCCACTATACACTTGCTCTGATTTTGCTTTGCATTGAAGGGAAATGGGATGAGGCACGCAACAGGCAACTGATCAGAATATCGCCTGAGGTACACTTGCGCTGAACATGAAAACAGTGTGTTATTTCTACAAATCAACTGGTACAAAGTAAGATGTAAATGTCAAAATGAATTGTATATAAATGACTTCAGAACAGCACGATGCAGACCGTAGTTTCAGGTCATGATTATTTACAATCAGATATTTGGCCCTCATTCCTGAGTCACATTCACTTGGCAAGTCATCGCGAGTGGGCTGTTCGCAGGGAAACCAAGCCAAAGTTAACATTGCAGTCTTGAGGCTTAGGTCATTGTCTCACATACAGTGGGGGCTGTGACCCCCACGGTGGGATGGTGAGCTAAGACTTTGGAGTCGAAACTTTGAGAAAGGAATGGCTGCCCTGGAGGTTGGACTACTCTCTGACACCTGTGAGAACCCTTTAAATCCTCGGTTCTTAATCTATTGACAGGAGAAAGCTAATCGGCTGCTCTCTTGAGGTCTGATTGTTGCAGAAGAAAAGCTCATGAAAAGGTAGCTGTTTGTTTTCTTTTCACAGAACTCTTATATTTTCATTAGGGGCCCCAACTCATTTGTCAAGTAACATGAATCCATATCCTGTGTATTAAGATAGCTGCAGCAAACTTTCTACCTCTCTGATCTTGCAAATCAGTTAAATTTGAGAGAAAAAGTTGTCCAACAGTTTTAAAGGTATATATTCCTGCTTTCTAAATATGTTATGAACTATTATGTTATTTACAGGGTAGGAAAATCTTTAAGACTGTTTATCTATATTTTATGTTGTGCATAATTAAATCCCCATTGTGGTAGCTATCATTAAATCTGTTTCTGTGTGTACAATTGCAGTCATTTGTACTAAATGTTCTGTACATGCTGCATGCAGATTTCATGTAGCTAAGAATTATAGTGAGTTACAAAGGGAGTTATGAAGATTTAATTATGCACAAGTTCAATTTACTACTTTGATCTGGCGATAAATCAAGTTTTAATTAAGGTTTTATTGCAGGCAAGTATCTCCTACAAGTGTTCAAGCTGCACAATTATGCAATCTGTTTGTCTGAGGTTTCCGCCTGCTCTGTTCAACAGTTCTTGTACCTCCAACCGTTCACTGTGGGATTATGTAAAGTCTGGTGTTCAAATGGGGTCGGCTGGGATGCTGGATGGGGTCAGCCTGGCAATTAGCTTGAAGAGGTTTGGCGACATTAGGAACAGGTTCATTGACAAATTGCTGCCATCTGCTGCTGCCATTCTTTCAGCAGTGATTCCCACATTGTATGTTATTACCTCCATCTAGTGGAAACTTCTGTTCGCACACTTTACTTTTCCAGGCAGGTCAAATCTGGCTTCAAGTGAGATCCTCGCAGCAGATCTGAGCAACATCTTAACAATGTCTCCAGCTGTCACACTTGTGACCCATGATTTGAGCTACTAAACGCAACATTGATACAGAAATGCTTATATTTATACAGTGCTTCTCATGACGTTGAGATGTCAAACAGCACCTGACAGCCAAAGGGGTTTTTCTTGCAATGTAGCAACTGTTGCAATGTCGCAATGGAACACCAGTAAAATGTTTCCTCCTACCCAGTCAGCCTTGACCCTTGCCAGAGCTGCCCTCTGCAACTTCAGTGAATGCTGTCGGGGTCATGGGCAGCACAGTGCTTAGCACTGCTGCCTCACAGCACCAGGGACCCAGATTCAATACCAGCCTTGGGCAATTGTCTGTGTGGAGTTTGCACGTTCTCTCAGTGTCTGCGAGGGTTTCATCCTACAGTCCAGGCACGTGCAGGTTGGGTGGATTAGCCGTGCGAAATTGCCCCCGTAGTGACCAAGAATGTGCAGGCTAAGTGGGTTAGCCACAGCAAATGTAGAGTTACGGGGATAGGGTGGGTTGCTCTTCAGAGATTGCTACAGGCTCAATGGGCTGAGTGGCCTCTATCTGCGCTGTAGGGATTCTATTCTACTTTTAACCCACACTACTGGGAGAACATCGCCCAGCTGTTGTAGATGTTCACTCCAATGGAATCAATCAAATGAAAATTGGGTGGGTTCTACAATGAGCAGCTGATCTACCCCTCCAGGTTTTTGGACACATGCTCAAAGTCAAATTTCACCCCACTCCTGAAATCTTAACAGGTCATCCCAAAGGACAGTGAACCAATGAATGGAATTAATACTTGGCATCCAAGATAACTCTCTGCTAACAGATTCACAAGTCTGGTCTCTAGTCCGACAATTCCTAACTGATTCAAATTACCATCAAATTGATTTTTAACTGTCATTTTAAAAGCTTTGCTTTGTAATCCAGTGTTTCTGCAAAATAATTACTGTTTGTTCTTGGTGCTTATCTTCACAACCAAGAGTTCTAAGATGTAATGTCTTCCCCAGGGCCTTGATGTCATCAATTCTGTGCTAAAATTCAATGCAAATTCCAAATGTGGCCAAATGCAATATGGTCCAAATATAGTTCTATTTATGTTCAACTGAATCACACAAAGCAATGGGGACAGGCACCAAAAGCTCCTTCAACCTCATCACAGGTCTTTGGCAAGGCGTCATACTCTCCCCACTACTTTTCCCTTGACTATTGATTTCACCTCAAGGAAAACGATGGTGGGTACAGATTTGTCATCCTATAGCACTTCCACTAATCGATGGATCTGACTTTCACAGATATCTTCACCTTACTGTATTGGGCACGTACTCCAAGATGTGACGATCACATTGGTCCATGCATCAAGGCTATGCTGACTGCACAGCAACAAACATTCCCCGTATCATGCCCCACCACTCCCACTCGCCAACTATCATCAGCATCTGGCAACACAGCGTTGAGAATGCTGACCACTTCCCCGACCAAGGAATTAATCTGTCCAGGGAGGGCACTGTAGAAATTGAGGACCACACAGGAAAAGACAAAGGAGCATTGGTCTTCCAGGGGCTATACATAATTTCTGCATCCAGCACCATCAACATGGGCATGAAGTTGACACTCTGCATATCCACAATAGTACCAACTGTTATCTATGCCAGTGAGACACAGAAGATTGGTCATCTTTCATGAGCACTACCTAGATAAGATACTGAGTATCACTTAGAGAGACAACATATAGGATGAACGTTCTTAAGCTGGAGAGGGTTCAGAAGATATTTACCAGGATGTTGCTAGGAATGGAGGATTTGAGTTATAAAGAAAGACTGGATAGTCTGGGACTTTTTTCAGTGGAGAGTACAAGGTTGATGGGTGACCTTATAAAGGTTTATAAAATCATGAGGTGTAAGGTGAATTGCAGGTGTTTTTTCCCTAGGGTGGGAGATTTCAAGACTAGGGGGCAAATTTTTTTAAAAAGACATGAGGGGCAACTTCTTTACACAGAGAGTGTGGAATGAACTTGGAGAGGAAGTGGTGGATGTGGATGCAGGTACAATGTTTAAAAGACATCTAAATGAGTACATGAGTAGGAAATGTTTGGAGGGATATGGACCAATTGCAGGCAGGTGGAACTAGTTTAGTTTGGGATTATGTTTGGCAATGACTGGATGGACTGAAGGGTCTGTTTCTGTGCTGAATGACTCTATGACTCTATGACATCAGCTGCAAAGAATGCTACAGAGAACTGGTCAGAAGCATTGTCATAGGAGCAGAGAGGCTTCTGCTCCTATGATGCTGCTTGGCCTGCTGTGTTCGTCCAGCCCTGCACCTTGTTGTCTTGGATTCTCCAGCATCTGCAGTTCCTACTATCTCTGGTCAGAAGCATTTATGGATCATTGTGACAGGGAGACCACATTTTGATTCTCAGATGTATGTTCAACCAGAGTGACAGGAGAATTGGCACCATCAGATCAAAGAAGACCTGAGCCTGGGCAATACGTGAATGAGTGGTTGGGTGGGGGAGATGGCCCAGTCGATGCATTGGATGGGTGTCTGTGTGAGTTTCCTCCCAGTGTTCCAGTTTCCACCCACAGTCCAATGATATGCAGGTTAGATGGATTAGCTATGGTAAAGTTAGGTGGATTAGCCAGTGCAAATATAGGGCTGTGGGGCTAAAGGTGTGGGACTAGGTCTAGGTGGGATGCTCTTCATAGAGTCAGTGCTGACTTGATGGGTCGAACGGCCTCTTTCAGCCCTCTGGCGATTCTGTGATTCTAAGCTCAGGGTCAGAGTCATTAGTTAGAATTTCCTGAGAATTCCCATGTATGTTTGTGTCAGTATTTCTCCGAAAATCCAGAGACCAGAAGATCTGGTGTCCATGTGCTCACATTAAAATTAAATTTGTGACTAACTTAGCTAAATTGGCCTGCAATCTACACATTATAAAACATGTTTGTAGCATCCAAAAGTTTAAGAATAGCTGTATCTGAGATCTTTTTGAGCTCATGAACAAAATTGTTGAATAGCAATGTTCTGAATCCAACCCTTGAGGAACTTCAGTTGTAACAAGGTTCCAATTAGATTCACTCTCATTAATAACTGCCTTCTGCTTACATGATGTCACAGGTTTGATCATTTGCTGTCCATACCACAAATCAGAAGGTCATATTTTGTTTAGACATAGACTGAGGACACACTGTGGAACAGAAACCAAGCAGATAACTATCAACTTTAGATAAGCTCAAATGGACCTTATTTAATCCTACTGTATTGGACAAAAGTTAAGACATTGCTTTGAGTAGAAAATATTAGGCAAAAAACAGTGAAATATAACATTAGGAGGGGTACAGTGTTATACAGTCTTTCTTATTGTCTTCATTGTCTTTCTATGTCTTCTTAACAATGACTAAACATTGTAAGGGAACAGTAGCTTCACATTAGTAACCGAAAAATACTGCGTATTATATAATGCACCAGAACAAATGGTTATTAGAATGGTTGATATTATTCATAATGAACAAAAGCTTAATACAGAAGCACTTCTTACAGACGTAGATGAAATCAGTAAAAATAAGTTTTAATATATAAGGAATTCAGGCGTTGCCTTGCATCTGAGCAATATCTGAGAATTCCCAGTCATCTAACACATTGACTATTCCATAAAAGTCTATAATTTTGAAACCCTTAAAGACAATTATATCATCATCATAATGCTGTATATCTGATATAGTAGATTTTATCAAGAGCTGCACACTTTCTTGGTGCCTTACCATCTTTGAAAATCAAAAATTAGAATGCAATCAACAGCAAGGTGGTAGTGTTGGGAGGGGAGTGTGTGTAGCAATGGTGGCTTCACTTAATCCAACATCTCATGAATTCTTAACATCCGTATCCCCCATGTCGTTGTTCCTCTGGGAGAGGGAGCTTATCCTGGTCGATGAGTTTCTCCGGTTGTGGAGCTTAATGGATCCACTCTGAGCCATGTCAGTAAGATGTACCTGAAAGTGATCTTCCATAAAGTAGTAAATAAAAGGGTTGATGCAGCTATTTGCAAAACCAAGGCAAATGGCAATCGGCATTGCAGTTTTGATCGCAGTGATAGTTCGACAATTGGTGATGAAATTCATCTTTGACAATGCATCCAGGAAAGTTAATGCATGAAATGGCAACCAGCAGATGAAAAAAGCCAGCACGACTGCAATGACCATCCACAATGCTTTGTCTCGTTTATGTTTGTTTTTTTCTCGTCCTTCCATTCTCATCAAATGACAGGCAACAAAACCATAGCATGTGCCTATTACTGTGAAGGGAATGAAGAAACCCAAGATATTTATCATGAAAGACATGGCTGCAGACCAGTGATTGGCATCATTGGAGGGGTAAACCATTGCACACACCATATTCCCTATCTCCTCGATGTGATGCGCACGCTGAAAGTAAATGGTTGGAAAGGTGGCAACTAAAGCCAAAGTCCATACCAGGATTATGACACAGCGAGCTTGGTACAGAGATTTCTCAGACTGGGATCCAAAAGGGTGGAGAATTACCAGGTAACGATCAATACTCATGCATGTAATGAAATATATACTGGCATACAAATTCAGAGACACAAGGGAGCTGCATATTTTACACATCACTGACCCAAAATGCCAACTGTACCCAGTAGCATAATAGACCGCCCAAATTGGAAGAGTGGATAAAAATACCAAGTCGGCAATTGATAAGTTGATTATATAAATGTTAGCAACAGTTCTCAAATGGGAGCGATGACACAAGACGGCGATGACCACACTGTTTCCAATGAATCCCAAGATAAAGATGATACTGTAGACAGCAGGGATGAAATTGGAAATATATTGGGATGGTACAACAAATTTGCATAGTTGCTTGGATTCATTATGTACAGAAGGTGTAGTAAACTGTGAGTGAGCTGTATCATTAGAAATTTCTGGAATATAGTCAGCAGAGATGGGGGAATGCACTGAGTCCATCTTTGTTGAGGTAAGACCTTGGCTGGCAATGGTTTTCACTGGCTGTTGTACCTATGAAACATTTAAAGCCACACTCTTAATACAATGAATAAAAATTTAAAGAAATCTCAGTTCTACTTCTGTTCACATTTGCAAAAACAGCTTCTGAATAATATCTGGATTTGCAGTGCACTAGGCCACTGAAACACATTTGATCATAGTTAAGAATGAAAATTTCGCTGGAAGGTAGACACAGATTCAAATATGTTGTTCCAGTTCAAGTTCTTGTCTATATTTTCACTGAAATGTACGAGGACAGGAACATTATGCATGAGCAGCTACAAGCAGTAGCAGTGATACTAGCCAAGTATAGATGGATAATGGAATTTTTGTTGCATTTGTAACATTTGTTTTGGAGTTTCCTGTATATTTCATCAAGTTAAGTGATGAAATACCTGCACAGAGGCCAGTGTCCTGTCACCAAGTCACCGTTAATTTACATGTGCCTGTACTTGGGCTCTGACAAGCCACCTCAAACCCAGTCCCTAGACCTTCTGAATCTCCAGTTTATATCTGTCAGCCAGGGCTCCCTGATTGGCCCAGGTTAACAGCCCCAATCCAGGATCTCATAGTCAATCAGAGCCACCTGGCCATGCATCCAATCACTATAAGTGAGATGCCTTTTTTTTTAGTATTATTAGTTTGTCAGGAACAAACCCCGTAATTTCTTAAAAACATTGGCACTACATTAGACCATTCAGCCCATCGACTCTGTTCCACTATTCAATGGCTGAACCATATGCCTGTCTTTGGCACATATCCTTTAATACCTTTGCTTAACAAAAAATTATTTATCTCGGATTTGAAATTATCAAGGGATCTAGCATCAACTGTCATTTGTGGAAGAGAGTTCCAAACATACACCACCCTATGTAGTGCTTCCAAACATTTCTCCTGAACAGTCCGGCCCTAATTTTTAGTCAACGCCCGCTAGTTCTAGAATCTCTAACCAGGGGAAATAATTTATCTTCATCCACCCAATTTTTTTTCCTGTTAATGTCTTAAAGATTTCAATCAGATCACTCATCAACCTTCTAAGTTCTAGCGACAACAGGCCTAATTTGAATAATCTCTCCTCATAACTTAACCCCTGAAATCCAGATATCACTCTTGTAATCCTAAATTGTACTCCCTGCAAGGCTAATGTATCCTTCCTAGAGATATAGGCGACCAGATCTGCTCACACTACTCCAAGTGGGGTTTAGCCAGGGTTTTGTATATCTGTCAGTGCAGTGTGATGTGAAGTGGTCAACACGAGCTGCATAGAGCACTGAGATCTGGCAAGGAGGAGCTCTATCCCTGGATGGATAATATTTAATACCATGAGCAGAACCACACAATTAAATTTGAAAAATACAACTTGCTTTACTCATATCAATGCTGATGGTCCTCAGTTGTCCCCTGCATTCCTAAATTCTCATTAATTTTGTCCTGAATTGTGAATTCTAAGAGTTTTCCCTGAACTAAAGGTAAAATCACCATAGCACCAGAGGACCGCACACTCTCTTTAGAGAGAGAGACAATTGGTGGTGAGTTCAACCTGAGGGTCACCATGCCTCAAACAAGGCTGACAAGGAAGGACCTTCATGGTAACCTCAGCCAGTGAAGGATTTGAACCTGCACTGTTGGCATCACTCTGCATGACAAACCATACATCCAGCCAACTGTCAACTAATGGATCCACCGGTCAGTTAATTCTTCACTTCTCTACTTAACAGAGGTCTCACATTCTCATGTCTAAAGCATGTCTAGAGCATTTGAGGGAGTTTTAAGTTGTGGTCTGAAGTTAGTCTCCTCCCTGACTCAACTCAATTGCCAATGGATTAGCCAATATGATTTATCAATATTTGATTCCTGCTAATAATATCAAATCCATTTATTTGCTACAATTACTGCCATCGGTTAGTCCATGATACTGTCCAGGAAACATATGCTCCCACTCCAGCTGTACCTTGTAAGAAGCCATCTAAATTGTTTATTAAATGTTTCCACCTTACCAAAATCTCCCTGTTAGACTCACCGTATGGTCATGTATTTTGATTTTTCTTTCATTTTACATTGCTAAAAGCGTTTATAATTTCCTTTCATATTATCTGCTGCATTTTGTTCAAATTCTCTTCTGATACCTTGAATTTCTGGTTCTCCTCTTTGTGACACTTTTTAACATTTCTCAACATTGGCGGGGGGGTGTTCCCCGTACTGCCTGTTTGTCTTCGAATCAGGACCCCAGGGAACTTGCACCACTTCGACCTACAATCACATTTACAACAAAATTCCAAACTGCAAGAATCATCATTGTCGCAGCTCAGTTGCATGTTTTACGGGATAATATAAGGATGTATTAAAACAAAAATCCTGCCAATTCTAAATATATAATCTGATATTATCTGCCATCCCATGTATTAGAAACGTTGTTTATCACAATCTAACATATTTAAATTGTAAATGAACAGATTCATGAATTGGCAGTCTCAAAAATCAGTTACAATATTCAATCCCATTGAACAGAAGGAGAATTAGAGTCAGCATAAAACTTGAACTCAACTCAGTATCTGACTACCTTAAAGGCATAACTCAATTTCATGCAGAATGCTTTCATCACCACTTCTCTCTGTAAATGCTGCCTAACGCGATGAGTGATTGAAGCATTTTCTGCTTTTGTGATGTTGTGAATGTCACTTATGTATCTTCAGATTCCCTGTTAAAGTGCTGTACCTCATCGTTGCTGGTTGAAATATTTTGGTCAAGATATTCCTTTTAGTAACCATTATCAATAAATGAATGAATGATCTAAAATACGCAATTACAAATATTTATTTTCCTTAATCTATTTGTCTCAGATTTCATGCCTGAAATATTTATCTTAAATTCTTGAGCAAGATTGCATCCAAAATCAGAACAGCTTCAAAAAGTATAAGCACGACTTTAGCTTACCAGTAACTGGAGCCTGGATAGGAATTGAAGTTTTAGCCTGGCTTTGGTTGCTGAATCCTTTTTGTGTCGTCCTTTATATTCTCATGCCAGAAATCACATGGTGTCCAGATGGAATTGTACAAAACATGGGACAGAAACTTTGGCAGCGCTTGTTTTGACAGGAAAAATAACTTGAATCATGTCATGTCCCTCCTGGGGCCTTCCCTTGTGGCGAGGGAAGAATTTTGAATTTCTGAAAAAAAATTGGTTGTACTGATTAAAAACCTGTCTATCTTCATCTTGTATGTACTTAATGACCCAGCCTCAAGGGCCCTCTGCAGTAAAATAAAATCCCATAGATTCACTAACCTCCAACACCTTTGTCTTAAATGGCAACCCCTTATTCTGAGATTGTGCCCTCTAGTCCAGCAAGGGGAAGAATTCCACATCTACCCCGGCAAATCTACTAAGAATCTTGTATGTTTCAATAAGATCTCTGTTCATTCTTCTAAACTCCATTGATTGCAGGCCCACCCCTACTCAACTGATCCTGATAAGAGGTTCCCTCCTTAGCTAGCATCAACTTAGTGATCCTTCTCTGGGCTGCCTCCAATGCCGATATATCTGACATATCTTATCATAGTGTTCTAGATGCGGTTTGACTAGCCTCTTGTATATTTTAGCAAGACTTCCTTACTTTTATACTCCATTCCATTTGAAATAAAGGCTAACACTCCATTTGCTTTTCCTATACCAACATGGCTACTTGCTTTTTGTGATTCAAAATCCCAAATCCCGCTGTTCTTTGACTTTCTGCCATCGTTCCCCATTTAAATATTACTCAAATCTATTATAATAGAGTTTTCTGTGTTGTATTCTTCCTGCCAAATTGCGTAAAACTCATTGTTTCCCACATTACATGCCATCTGCCAAATTTTATTCACTTGCTTAACATCTATCCATCTCTTTGCAAACTCTTTGCATCATCTTCAGCAACCTATCTTCCCAACTATTTTTGTGTTATCCACAAATGTGGCTATAGTGTTTTAACTTCCCTTGTCCAAGCCTAAACTCCACTAGTTACAGGTTGCCAACCTGAAAATGACCCCACATGACAACTGTCTTCTCATTATTAGCCGATCCTCTATCTATGTTAGTTCCTAAAATAGATGGATCAATTAGATGCTGTAGAGATTGTAGAAAGATGAATGCAGTCACAAAGTCAATTTTGTACCCATTTGCATGGTCAAAAGACTGTATTGAGAGGGTTGACAGGACTTTGTTCTTTTCTAAGATTAATCTATTGAATGTGCACTGGATAAATGCAATTAACATCAATGGTTAAAGAAATACCTGTTTTTGTTAAACCAAATGTTATATCAATATCAAGTGATGCTATCTGGGTTAAAGAACACCCCAGCTATATTCCAGAGGCTAATGAATTAAGCCTGTAAAATGTAAGGGGTTATAGATTTAACTGGTAGTGCTATATGCCAGCAGTTCATAATGGTTTATCTGTAGTTAAAATCATAGTAATCCTTATTGAGTACAGAAACCTAGGTCATTCTGTCATTTCTGTCAACCTGAGTCTATAAGACAGGGAAATTGGGAAATCTTACATACTCTTATAAAATCTTTAAATTTTGTGATGACTCCAGGAATATTGGTGTTTGGTTTTCAGTGTGCTACACCAGTGAGGTGTAGCACAATATTCTTTCAGTCTTCTGACACAGGAGTGGTACCAGTGGACTGGAGAATTGCAAATATAACGCCTATGTTTAAAGAAGGTAGTAAAGATTTAGCACGGTTTAACGCAGGGGTGGGAACGCTTCTAGAAACTATTTTTCAGGATAGGATTAGTAGTCACATGTTAAAATGAAGGACAATTAGTGTAAAGACGGTATCTTTTTATTTTTCTGTATTTTTGATTGTGGACTGAAATGGGAAATGGACTGCTTTAAAAACCAATGATTATGAAAAGGATTACTGCACTTGTTAAAAGCAAGTTATCTGACACCCATTGTAAATATTGTTTACACTGCTGTTTGTTCAAGCTATGGGAGAGATTTAAGTTATAGATGTGCTCGTACCAAGTGGTGTGTACACAATAAGATTCATCAAGCAACAAGAAGCTGATTGGTTTGTGGATTAGCGACCAGACAGTGACAAAGGCCTTCTGCCTACCAACAACTTTGTGATTGGCTCCCAGCTCATGAGTGTAAATATTAGGGCAGAGGCCATCAGACCTCCAGAAATGAAGGTATTTTTCTTTCGCTGCAGTTAAAAGAAATCCTCAAGCCCGAAGAAAGCCAATTTATTTCTCCTCATGAGTTGGTGCAAGCTGTGGTTTTTAACCAACAAGTCCGAGATGTCATACGTTTGAATCAGTTGCTCAGTGCATCCTGGAAAAAGAAGATCCAAGAACAGCTAGTCCAGTCAAGCCAAAAGGATCATTGCAATGAATCCCAGGGGAGTGAGCATTGAACAGTATTCTGAGTCTTTCCCTCTGGCCATTACACCCCATTTTTTCTGTCTGTCTGTTAAGAAGGTGTTTAGCATGCTTGCTTTCATTGCTCAGATCTTTGAGTATAGGGGTTGGGATGTCGTGTTGAGGTTGTCCAGGACATTGGTAAGACCTCTTTTGGAGTATTGTGTCCAGTTCTGGTTGCCCTGCTATAGGAAGGAGATTATCAAGCAGGAGAAGGTTCAGAAAAGATTTACCAGGATGTTGCCAGGAATGGAAGGTTTGAGTTATAAGGAAAGGCTGGATAGGCTGGGACAATTTTCACTGGAGCATAGGAGGCGGAGGGATGACCCTTACAGAGAGTTTTAAAATCATAAGGGGTGTAGATAAAGTGAATGGTAGGTGTCTTTTCCCTGTGTTGGGGGATTTCAAGATTAGCAGGTGTATTTTTAAGGTGAGAGGAGAAAGATTTGAAAAGGACACAAGTGCAACTTTTTTACACAGGGAGTGGTTTGAGTGTGGAATGAACTTCCTGAGGAAGTGGTCGATGCAAGTACAGTTACAATGTTTAAAAGACATTGGGATAAGTACATGAATAGGAAATGTTTGGAGAGATGTGTGCCAAGTGCAGGCATGTGGGACCAGTTTAGTTTAGGATTATGGTCCATATGGACTGGTTGTACCAGAGGGTTTGTTTCCGTGCTGTATGACTCTATGACTCAATGTTGTATGGAGGGGGAGTTTTAAAAGGTAATTAGGGTCTTACTTAGAAGAGTTATATGTTGACCATTCATAATTGCTTATCTATAGCTAGAATCTATTTATTTGTAATAAAGATATAGCATGATGAATATTTATTATATATGTATAGAATAAAATAATTCTTGTTAAGTACAGAAACTTGACACATGCTGTCAACCTGCATCTAAAAGGACAGGGAAGTTGGGGAATTTTGCATTATTTTATTAATTATTAACTTTTATGATGACCCCAGAAATAGCAACGGTTGATTTCAGTGTGCTACCCTACTAAGATGTGACATTAGCAAGAGTTGGATAAGATTTTTCGAGGGAAGTCATGCTGCATTAACTTGTTGGTGTTGTTTGAAGACTTAACAGAGAGAGTAGATGAGAGTACTAATACTGATGTGGTGTATGTGGGCTTCCAAAGGTGCTGAGATAGTACCACACAATAGAACTGTGAGAGAAGTTATAGCTCATGGAATTCGCAGGACAGTGGATACAAAATTGCTTGACGGATGAGAAACAGTTTGTATGGAATTCCCTAATGGTTGTTTTAGCCATCTTGTCTTTTCATGACATATGATAATGACCTAGACCATAGTGTGCAGGAATAGTTTCCAGTTTTGTGGATGGTTTTAAACTGTGAGGAGGACATTGTAAAAGTACATTGACAAGTTGATGGAGTGGGTAGATGAAGTTCAATACAGAGAAGTGTAAGTGTAAGTGAAGTGTAGAAAAAACATAGACAGTATTAAAATAAAGGACACCATGCTAAAAGTTATGCGGGAACACAGAGGTCTGGATGTATATGTTCAAAAATCACTAAAGGTGGCAGGGCTGGTAGAGAGAGCTGTTAATAAAGCATACAGTAAGCTGGGCTTTAATAATAGGATCAAAGAGCACTCATTGGACCTTGGCTGTAATATTGTTTATAGTTCTGGTTGCCACACTTTCAGAAGGATGTGAATGCATTGGAGAAAGTGAACAAGATGTTTACAAGAATGATCCCAGAGATGAAAATCTTTAGTAATGTGGATAGATTAAAGAAGTTGGCACTGTTTTCTTGGAGAGGAAAAGGCTGAGAAGAGATTAAATGGAGGGTTTCAAGATCAAGAGAGGGTTGGAGAACATACATGGAGAAAAGCTGTACCTTCTCATAAAAGGTTCAAGAACAAGAGGGCACAAATACAATACAATCTCCAAAAGAAATAAATTGGATGTAAGAAAAATATTTTCAAAGCATTATTAGGGTCTGGAATGCACTGCCTGGGTGTTTGGTGGAGGCAAATTCAATTGAGGCAGTTAAAAGGGCATTAGATCACATTGAAATAGAAACAATATTCAGGGTTATAGGGAAGAGGCAGCTTCTAAGTTATAGTGCTCATTTGGAGAGCTAGTGTAGCCAAATGGGCTAAGCAGATTTCTTCTACACTGTAATAATTCTGTGATGAGAATAAATCCTATTCAATTAGTCCACAGAACACCCAAATAATGCTCTACCATCATCTCCAGTATCCCTACAAACCTGTACCGCATCCTGATTTGAACATATATCCTCATTTCTTCATCATAAATAACAATAATAACATATTGTTAAATATCATATCATAATAATAAAAAGTCAATTCAAAGGAGTTATGAAACAAAATTTGACACCAAACTACATAATTCAATGTTAGGGCATGTAACTAAAAGCTTGGTTAAAGAAGTAGGTTTCAGACTATAGCATAAAGGAAGATGTAGTGAGGCTGACATGTTTAGAGAATGAGTTCTAGGGCTTAGGGTCTCAAAGGGTTAAATTTGGGATTTTCAAGATGTCAGAATTAAAACAGTATGATTAAACTGTGGAGGTTTAATGTAGG